CCTGCTCCGGGGCGCTGCAGCTCCCGGCCCCCTGGGCAGCTCTGCTCAGCACCTGGGGAGGAACAGAGCTCTCAGAGCCGGCTGCTGCTGCTGCTCTGCTGCCCCTGCCCGGCGCTGGCAGATGCCACCCTGCCATGGGTGGTGCCATTGCTGCCACCCAGCCAGTGGCCAGCCTTCTCCAGCGGTGTGAGGGATGTGAACTCACTGGATGCACCGCGATGGATGCAAACCCATGGCCGTGTCCCGCATGGGGATGGGATAGGATGGGATCCATGGGATGGGATGGGATAGGATCCATGGGATGGGATGGGATCCATGGGATGGGATGGGATCCATGGGATGGGATGGGATGGGATCCATGGGATCCATGGGATGGGACGGGAGGGGGATGGCACAGACGAGGCCATACTCACCCCCAGGACGGTGACAAGCCACCAGTGCATCCCGCTCCTCTTCATCACCCGGGGAGACCTGCCCAAGGGGGAACACCAGCGTCATCATTCAGGGAAAATCCCGTGGGAGGAGTAATTTGGGGGCCCTTTTTCTCCCCTCTGGGATGCTCCACGGCATCTGCCTAAATAGCTCTACAGCAGCGGCCCTGACCATCCCCCAGAAAGTTTTCTTTAGATATTTTATGGAATGCTCAGCATCACCCCTTCCCTTGGAGATCCCAGCTCCAACCCAAGCTGGAGAGGGACCAGCCTCAGCAGTGGAGTCACACCATTCATGCAAGGAGCAGATGATGCTAAACAAAGTTAAAGAAAGGTTTTTCCTGCTCTGGAGGAAATCCTTTTGCATCTGTCACAAGGAAATGAAGTCACCAAAAAAAAAAAAAATAAAAATTAAAAATATTTAAATGAAAACTTGAACAAAACAAGAGGTATTTCCCAGAGTCTCATTCCCCCTCTTTGGGCTCAGCAATTGGTTGTTAAAATTAAAATCTGTGCTGACAGCATAGGGGAAGGAAGGAAAAAATAAATAGTAACCCAAACCCGGATCCAGCCTCCGCATGGAAATCCTGCCGCCTGCATGGAAATCCTGCCTCCCGCATGGAAATTCCCCCCCGGTCGTCACGGTCCTGTGAAAGCCCCAGCAGAGCTTCATTACAGCCTGTGCCTGACGAGTTTCTCCTAATTAGTGGCCAGCACCACCCCGAGATGCAGCTAATTACACGTGAGGGGGGTCCTGGGGGTGCTGAGGTGGGTTGGGACACGATGGCAGAACCCAAAACGAGCATCCTCTGTACTCCAGCTCCCTCCAGTAGCTCGCAGTACAGGAGCACTGCAGGGTGCCAGCATGGAGCCGGCCAGCCCAGCTCCTGAACCCCCCTGGGATTTGGGATGTGCCCCTCGAGAGCCCAAAGGAATGGCGGTACCCATGCAAGCTCTCCACCCTATAGGTCAGTGAAACTGGAGTTTAAAGCTAACGTGAAGCATTTTAATTCTCTGGGGCTGTGGAAATCAAGCACTCCAGGGACACACTGAGGTGACAGGAAGGTCCCACTGTGGCTGAGGGACCAGGAGCATCCCGGCTCACCAGAGCATTCCAGATCCTGATAAGTGGATCTGAACACCGCCAGGAGCAGGGCTAAAGCTGATTTGAGGCCAAGCTTCATCCAAGGATTAAGGACATCCCTCAGATGAACAAAACGCTGCTACAGGGATGCAGGAGGTGCAGGAACCAGAGGATGCCAGCTCCTGGTTGGCACTGGAGCTTTGCCCAGGACTCAGCACCCGCTTTTGGGGGCAGCTTGGGGCCATCCCAAGTGGGGATGGGGTATGCAGGCACAACTCCTCAGCTGGTGATGCTGGGAAGCCCAGCTGCCCTGACACACTCCTCAAACCGACAGAATTTACCCCTCCCAAGAACCAGAGGAAACCAAAAAGTAACCCCACCAGCGCCAGAGCCGGCTGCTTTTGGGGCCACTCCAAGCTCCAGCAGCCCGGTGCACCAATGCCGACACACCAGAAGAGGCGACTTGGTTTTGGAAACCTCCCCACATCCCTCGGGATCACATGAGCCCTTTTTTCCCAGCCCCCCTTAACACGATCTGTAACCTAAAACTGCCCGCCGGGATTCCAGCGAGGGCTTCCCCTCCCTGTGGGGGAACAGGGTTTCAGCTCCTGCAGACAGACAGAGGGGAAAAAAGAGCAACTGTTCGGGGAAACTTTGGGGAACAGCTGCTGGAGACAGCCGCCGACAAGGAGGGGATTGTCCGGCAGATGGAGCGAAACTCGGCATTACCGCAGCCCCGGAGCTGTGGGAACAACCGAGCCGCCACCAAATTCCAGCGTTAAAGTCAAATGGTCCCGGGGGAAGCGCTGGGATGGCAGCGGCGCGTCCCGGGGTACGCCGCAGCATCCCGCAGCATCTCCGGCCCTTTGGCTCGCAGCCCTGGGATTTTCCAGCTCCAGCCAAAAAAAAACATAGAAAAAAAAGGGAAAAAAACCCCGACACGGCTCCTACCTCTTTTCCCAGGCAGCTGCTGCCGAGTATTCCTTAACCTACTTTTTCTCCTCTCCACCCTTTATTTTAACCTACTTCGGCGCTGCAGCAGCCGCAGCCTCCCGGACCCGCGGGGCAGCGCACCCCACTCCAGGCGGAGCTCCCCCAGGTCCCTGCTTTAGGGATAAGGCCGGGACAGAAACACCGCCCACCCCTTTTAGCGCAAAGCGGGGGGTCGAGCATCCCAAAAAGAGCACCTGACCCCCCCCCTCCTCGCACAACCCAAAGCCGCAGAATCCCCAAGGCCGACGGCTCCGCGGGGGAAAACGCTTTAAGGGGGGATAACCCGAGCCCCCCGGGCGGAGGGGGTGTCCCTGTGCCGGGGGTGTCCCTTACCTGTCCCCCCGGGGCCGCCCCGCCGCCCGCGCCTCCTCCTTATGAATGAACCCGCGGGCGCGCGGCTCCGCAAACCCCGCCCAGTTCCGTGACGTCACACAGAGACCACGCCCCACCGTGTCTGGCCACGCCCCCTGATCCAGCGGCAGCGCCACCTCCCGGCCGCGGTGGGAACTGCGGGCGGGATTCGGGATGGGTTTTATCCCACCCCCGGGGGGAGGTTTGGGGGCAAAACGGGAACAACCAGATCAGGGTGGGTTTTACCTGCCCAGCAGGAATTTAATAAAAAAAAGTGGTTTTTTTCTTCTTCCCCATGTGGGCTCGCAGGGGACACCCACGAGTGCTGCGCCCGCTTTCCTCACCCGTCCGACAGCGTACCCTGCCTTGTAATCTTCCCCAGGAGAGAGTTCTGTGGGGACAGCCGGTTGCCGTCAGGCCTGGCGTTCCTTCTGTTCCCCTCGGTTTTCCCCAGGGCGACCTGCTGTCCCCGACTCCTGCTGTTTGTCCAGCCAGGGAGCGCCGCGTCCCAGAGCTCTGCGGCACGAGGGGAGCACATCCTGACATCCCCCGCGGGGTTATCCAGGACAGAACAACTGCACCCCGGCGGTGGAAACCGCTTCTTCCTCCCACCGGAGTCTTCACCAGCTGTGGCACCAGCGGGTGACATTCCCAGCGACAGCAGTGGGGGTGGGAGCCGTGCCCGCCCTCACCCTGTCCCTGCCACCCCATCCCGAGGTGAAGGATGAGACCACGCTGGGATCATTCTGGCACGGGTGACCTTTAATAACAAAGAGCCCCCAAGTGACCGAAATCCCCCCCCCCCCCCTTTCCCAAAA